GTATCTTTTAGTCACTTATGGTGTGGGTTGTGTTTTGGGGGGGTTTTTTGTTTGTTTGTTTGGAACATGATCAGCTCTGTACACTCCCAGGGGATAGTCAGGGACTCCACTGGCAGCTTGGGGATGGTATCGTTTCCATGATGCTGGGAGTGGGTGTTGCGGTCTGACAGCGTTTTGTATGGAGCCTCTTAAGCTGATTATGGAAGAAGAAGGGCCAGTTTGGGCACAAATGGGGAAGTCGACAAAATCTGGGAAAGAATCTCAGCCCTTGCAAATGGTACCTCGGTCTTCCCTAGCAAAGGCCTGCCAGGAGCCTGCGGGAACTGTGGTTTTGCCAATTTAAGAAATCGTTGCATGTTAGTGTGAGGCGTCAGCTCTGCTTTTGTTATTAATATGTCTAGACTTCAGGTTCTGAAAGTTTTGTGCCACACGTAGCTGCTGGGGTGAAGGCGATCAGGCCTCCTGAGTCAAAAACATTAACTACAAATAAACAGGCTACTCCTGCTAAATCTATATCACAATTATTTATGTGCATGGGGAGGTAGAAGGAAGGGGGGTGTGTGTGAGAGGGTGTTGCAAAGCCCTCACAATTCAGAGAATAATGGACTAAATCTTTGGACTGGAAAATGGTATTGGAAGGTCTGGAAAGGCAAAGGCGAGATTGCAGGTTACTGTAAACTATAATGAGTTCAGTAATTGTCACCAGGTGTGTGTATACACGTGGTAACGCCTTCCTCTGTCGTGCCGGTAGGGCAGCCTGAGTCACTGTCCCCTTCCTTTGCCAGAAAATAAACTGATGCGAGGCAAGGGGAGCACCAGCAATCTTGCCCTCAGTTTACCTACCCGTGTCTCTTACAGCCTCAAAGATGCCAGCTGTTACGAGGATGGTGATCTCGTAGCAAAATAACGGTATCCTTCCTGAATGTCCCCTTGGTGATGTGGCAATTTTGTGGTTTCTGAAAAGGTCAAGCAGCATCATTAATGCACACCATATGTCTGCGAAGGCGTGTAATTCCTCAGTGAAGGTGCAGTGCTTTAGTTTGTGGAAAAGGACATCTTCCTCTGAATGCAAAACTTGGGCGTTCCCTAGAACTGAAGGACAGGAGGATATGTTGGTGCATTGTCTCCACCCAGTTCATCACGGAGATTAGACCTTTTTATTTGAGTTGTTCCAAGTTGTGATGTCTGAGGGAGGTAAATTGAGTCAGAAATAGTGTGCTTTAAAAAAAAAAAAGAAAGAAAAGGAGACTCTTCAACACTTAAAACGTTAGGCTTTTTATATGATTGCTTTCAGCCTAGCCTAAGACTACATAACTCTTTGGACTTTGTAGGAGATTAAATCCAGTCCCAGGTTTTTCAGGTAAGGTTATTGCTCTGCTCCTAGGCTGTCCCCTGAGCCGTCTCTGTCTATTTCTAATTAAGGACTAGAGGAAGCGGTTCCTTCTGATGTCAGGAGTAGCGTGAAGAAAGCTATAAGCATTTCTGTCAGTACTGTGGGGAGGCTGGTGCCGCAGCCGCCCTCCCATCAGGGACCAGCGTGCCTGGGCTCTCCTCTTCAGGCTGGTCTCATGGGGAGCCATGCTCACCTAGCGCGCGGCCAAAGAGTGGGTAGCCATCAAGGTAATCTTCCAAAAGGCATCACAACAGATCAAAATTTATTAAACATACCTACTCTGAGAAGTTTGGCAGTCTGTTGGTATTCTGATCTGTAAAATACCTGGGAGTGACATTATTCAGAGTATCCTAGAAGAAGCAGAGAAGGTAGGGCTGCTGTGACTGTGTGGTGGTGATGGTGTGCTGAAAGTGCTTTGCACCTGAGATGCTGGTATTTAGACATAATTCATTGGGAAGTCCAGTATGTCTCTTGGCAGATCTTAGGGCTGAGATAAATCAAAGTGTGGTTTTAAAGCAATGTGCTAAATTTGAGATAGTGTAATTTTTGTAATGCAACATTTATTCATATATAACTTTTGCAGGTGTTTGACTTGTTACTCATGCTTCAGTTCATGTCCTTTAAGCATGAATTTGAAACAGATGCAGCATTTTAAAAATAGCAATATACCATTTAAAAACTACTTAAATTCATTCTTTTGGAGTTTGACCTGTATGAAGCAAATAGAAATGACACTGACTTTTGAGAGATGAATGATTGCATGTTCTTTGGTTTCCAAGTCTTGCAAAACTGCTTCAGCATTTTGGCCCATACTAGCAAAACTCTTCATCAATAAACTGATGTGCGAGCGTGCATATAACACATATATATGCATACATCACCCACATAGCACACATGCCCCAATGAGGAAAAAAACCTTGAGATTTTCGTGAACCTGTTCTTCATGGCTTAGCTATAGAAAAGACACACACTGTAAACGATTAAAAAGGTACATGTACATTTGGGATTGTTTTAAATTACAAATCTTAAGAAAAGAAGGAATAAAACTATTAAAAAGAATCATTTTCCATTAACTGAAGTGTTTGCAATAAAGGCAATTATAGCAGTTGGCAGCATTCTCCTTGAACCAAAATAAATAAATACATTTGGTGACATACGTTTAAGGAAATGTGATTGTTGCAATGTTCATGCAAATAAGGAGCAGCCTCACAAATGCTAGAGATTTTGCCATCTGGTATTACCAAAGGAATACAACTCTCAACTTGTAGCTTTTCCTAACTTACTGCTTATAGATGGCATATTAGGCATTGTCACACGGTTTTTCCATTTGCATAATCATTCTGAATTATTGCAGGTTGTGCGTTGCATTGCCAACAGTGAACTTCTCATTCGGGAAGGGGGTTCAGAGATCTGACGGCTTGTATGTCTTCATCAAATATGTCTCCATCAAATAAAGGGATAAAAATGTCCTTCCACTTTAGGAGTATCACACCAGTGCATTTTTAAATTTGTATGAGGCCTAGTGAAGAATGCTGCATTTGTTTACTTCCTAGAAACCAGGTAGAGATCAGTATTATAATTAATCTCAGGGGACCTGCCCGTCTCTATTTGACTGCAGGCTAGAGTCCAAATGCAAAGCTTCTCAAAGAGTCAAGAGGTTTTGCATGGGGAAATGTGGCTGAGGATGAAGTTACAACCTGATCCCTGCAACTCCAGAAAAACCCAACCTAACAACAGCTATTCAGGACAACAGCTATTCAGGGTGGCAGAAAGTCTGCTTCAGACACAGAAGTTGTTGTTAGAAAGTCTTTTACCCCAACTTAACTGATGGGAGTACACTCGGATAGCATGATGTAGTAACCGAGGACCATTGCTCACGTAGCAGTAAATGACAACTGCTCTACCTCTGGCCTCGGCAGCATGTGCAGCAGATGATCTCCGCTCACAGGGACCCCGTGGGGAGGCCTTCGCTATTCCCCTCTTCCTGGAGGAAGGCATTTTCCATGTCCAAAACTCCACCCCTACGATAGCCTCCTCATTCCACTGCTTTTCAAAGAGAGGGTGTTGGCGTGAGTAACATGCATTGCTCATGAAAAATATGGGATAAAACCCGAAAAAACCTCAGCCACCTGTAAGTGGAATAAACAAACCGGTGGTTGGAAGCTGCCTCCAACCTGCCGTACTGAAACCCTGTGTTTCACAACAAACCCCTGTGTTTGAGAGCCCCGCTCGGCGTTTGGCACCTGCCCTCAGATGCCCTCAGACCCATCAGAAGGGTGCTCCGCAGTCCAGTTCGAGTTAGCAGCTTTAACAAGTAAACATAAGATTTTGTGTTCGTTTGGTGACTGCTAAGGCATTGTTTTTAAATACTAATAACGTCTAACATATCCTATGTATTTTCAGCTCTCTCAAGTCTTGAATTAGAATCAGATAGCTGTTGGCCTTTTGACTGCCTTGCCTGAGGCGTACTAGGTAACGTCACGTGGGTAGCCGATGCAACATATGTTTTGCTAACTGGGAAGCTGGTTAGCAAGACAACCTTTTTCTTATTAACACATGGTGCACTTACATGGCATTAATATATATTTCTACTTTACAGATTTACAGTGCCAGAAGAAAGGCATTAGCTGAGCTAAGCAAAATAGGCAATCAGCATACTCGTCACATTGTCCTGAAATAACACCTAAACCTTATTAGACACATTGGTTTCCTTTGTGAGGAGAATAAAACATAACAAACTGAAATGTGCAAACCTGTGTTGTTCTGTGGAAATCCAGGGAAGGGATTCTCTGGTTTATGTTGTCATGCATTAAACTAGAATTCTGAAAAAAAAAAAAGTTAATTTTTATTCTGGATGTCTGTATTGGAGCCAGACTAGTTCATTTCTAAAAATTAATACTGTTGTGTAATGCAGTGATTTTATTCTCTCTCCAGCTACACTCTACCAGCCATACATACACTATCGTGCCAGTATTCATTTATTCATGCTCTGAAGTTGTGATAGTGTCAAATCCATCAGAAAGAGGAATTGTTTCAGTAGTAGTTTCACGACTTGGCTGATTAACGGAGATCAGAAGCAGCAGACTAACTGTGGAAACCACTACAGCATGTAGTTTTAACAGCTCTTTAGGGAGCTAGTTAATGAAAGAATCACTACAGAAACACATCCATGTGAAAAAAGGAGCATTCTCATACAACACTCAGAGGATATGTCATAAGTGGAAATATGTTCATAATTTCTATTTACTCATAGCTGTAATTACCATCTGCCTTAAGAGTACTTTCAGTCTTTGTCAAAGTTGCTTAGATATTTTCTTTGTCACATTTCAAGTAGAGAAGTTCTGCACAGACTAGATCCTGCCCTGTGATTTCTTTTTTATTCTTCTGTAAGAATTTAATTATCTATTCTCTGTGTGAAGAAAGCACCAGCATTCCCAGAGACCTGAGCCTCCCCAGCCTGCTTGGACTGGCATTCATCTGATTCATGTTCTTGCTTATTTTTGCCATCTGTCTGCAAACCAGAGTTCTTCACTTTTAAATTCATGCTGGTTTATATGTTGCCCGCTAACTTTTAACTCTTAAAAAGCTATTCCTCTTTTTGCTGCAGTGTCTATGAGCCGGATAGAAACGTGCTGCGAAGGAAAGAATGGGAAAGGAGAAATCAGGAGGCCCAGCAGGAGGATGGCGCGTTTAACACGAGTTACTCCCTCTTCAGTGAACCGTACAAGGTAGATGCTTCCCAGCTGGGTGGCTATTTATTTATTTATTTATTCACAGTACAAAAATGCAGCCTGGCAAAGGCATTGTCCAGGTTTCAGCACCCTGCCACAAGTGCTAGCCTCACAAAATTTGCAGAGAACATTTACGGTTCACTGAGAATCGGATTTTATATATATATAGATAAGCTTCTTATAATGTTCAGCAGCACACAAGAATGAAATAAACTAGAAATATCCTAACAATATTTGAGATCGAATTAAAACTAGGAGGTGAAGGTGATGGTGCCCTGTTTTTGCAACACTTAGAAGAAAACAATTGTGTTAGAATTGTGTGTGAAGGTCAAGCAATAAAGTAAACATTGTGCTCTGGCCAAGGTTAATGTAATGAAATATCTTGGTGGTTGCTTTTTTTTTTTTTTCTTCTAAAGCATTACCAACAAAATTTGTCTGCTAGACATGTTTTGCCCTCACCAAAGGCAGAGGTAACTTATGAGTCTCAACTCCCCGTTTTATTCCTCGTGGTAACAGTAGTGTGATGAGGCACAACCGTCTCTCCCCACTCCCTGTTAGAAGGGTCAAGCAGGATCTGCACTTTGTAGAAGCCTGCAAACCAAGCCCTTGTGAACAGGACCTGAGAGCGGTATCCCACAGGGGCTGCTCCTCTCCCACAGCTAACCCAGTGCCTTTGCCTGCGTGCATCAAAGCATCATCATGTATTGTCTACTGTGCCCTTCCAGTAATGTCCAAGTTACTGTTACAACCACCACGTTGTGAAGCCTTTCCCTCCACGCAGCATCACTTGTCCTTGATGCTTTGGATGCTTTAGTGCCTCTTTCCAGGAGTCCTATTTGGGACCTGGTACTTGGCTTCTGCACCTGGCTTCCATGCTTCTGTGTTTCTGCCCGTGCTCCAGGGTCAGCTTTTACCTTGCTGTTCTTCCAGATTGCTGTTTGGTTTTAGTCCCTAATAAAAAAGAAAGATCTACCACTTTCAAACCATGTCCCTTGATAGAAGACAGCTCTGTCTGCCTTGAAGCTGACCTCCAGCTGCCCGAATTTCAGATTCATTACAAAAGCGTTTAGAAACCATGGGAAATGTCTTGAACTCCTCAAGACTCTACTTGAAAAAGTCGACTGTGAGACCAATCAAGGGCTAATCCATGGAAAAAAGCCTGAAAAGCTTGTCAGCTGTGTGTTGGCATTTCGTGAGGGCTCTACTGCAATGGGGACTTAATAATTTTCCATTTGGTACATCCAATCAAATAGACCCCTCACAAAAAGGACCTGTCCTATTGCTGGGCCCCTGATACCATTTTGTCTGTGGTACCTAAAGTTGGTAATACTGAAGCTCAAATCACTTATAAAAGTGGTATAGCTGGAATATTTTGTGCACTTTAATTATTACCTGTGTGCCAATGTACTGACTGTCGTGGCACAGACTTCGTGTATCATGGACACACCAGTAGTTTCTGAGTTACGATGTCTGAAGGCATCTCTATGCAACCACAGTATAATTCCATCAACTTTAACAGGAGTGGATGAAAAATCATTGCCACCTCTAGAAGCAGAGCAGATACTGAGTGGGTATCCTATGGGGAGATCAGAATAATGGCTCCACCCATGCTTCTTATCTTTAAACACTATGTCCCTATTTTGGACAAGCGTGTAAAGAAGGTGCTGCAGAAATACATCCTACAGCTGTCTTTGTCAAGGAAACATGGAGAAAGGCAAAGCCCAAGACAGCAGTATAACTCACCCACAGCTCTGTTGGTGTGACAGTCACAGCTGCTTGGGATGACCAGTCATTCTGACAGTATTGGACATCAAAACTTCAGCAGTGGCGTACTCTGAATGTCATGTGTACACTGGCAATGGACCATTGCACTGTCTGAACTCATCCAAGCATTTGTGAACCTTCAGTGTGGGGGTGCAGAGCTGTGGCTTGGGCTTTTTGATCTTATCCTGGAGCGAGGCTGACTGCAAAAGAGGAAACCTTTCTGCGAAACCCAATCTTACTGTCTTTAAAGATCATGTTCAAGTTTTAGGTGTTTCCAGAGGGAAATGAAGTTACAGCAGACATTCACCGCAAGCTCTGATTAAATTCAGTATTCCTCTGCACAGCTTGAGAAACATGAGCTAAAGCCAAAGGATTTGCCATTCAGAAGGCCATATCTGAAAATCAAAGGCAGACTGGAAATCTCTTAAATCTTATGTCCTCTCTCACCTTGACATGTATCACTACTCCGGTAACATCAGACTTTCTGAAAAATCCTGACTCTTCGGGTTGCCCTTTATCCTGTTCAAAGTATCCATAGCAACCCTTTATGAAGGATTACGGGAAATCAAGTATCTTCTACTTAAAATGTCTTTTACAGGGAGTAAAAAGTAGAAGTTTCATTCCGGATATTTCCTGGACATTAACAATATCAGTATTTTTAATGAAGAAAAAAATTTTGATGACCTTCCATGCAACCATGAGGTTTATTTTTAGAAGTGTTGAATCTTGCAGTCTTCAAATGCATGGATACATCTTGCATTGCAGAAGAATATCAGAGCACTGTAAGTTAGAAATGTTTGCACAGAATGCTTTTCCTACTTACTCATTTTGTGACCATGTTTTCCCTATGAGAATGATTAAATAAGGCCAACAATATTTCAGAGCAAATAATAGGACAGACTCTTATATCTAAAGCTCATAACAAGTTACCTCAGACCCCATCGTGATCGCAAAAGGATGTAGGTGAACTCTTCTGGATGAGATCAGCTCAACACAAAATCTTCTCACCTCAGGTTGTCCCCAGTGCATCCAGAAGGAATAAACAACACCGACCAGTTGCCACCATGTGCTGTGGTACAGGCATTAGACTGGTTTTCTACAGTTATTCTTGTGGTTATCTGGGATCTCTCAATATGAGGTGTTTCCTTGTGACCGTCACATCACATCCATATAGAAGACAATCTGCTGACTTCTCTGGGCTAGTGATAGTCTACAGATCTGAAATTAGGCTTTTATTTACTTCCCATCCAAATAGCAGCCATCAGAAAGAATGGACCTTCTGTTAGGGAAGTTGGACTTTCCAGGGGCAAAACTTGCACATAAATTCTCTTACGTTCACGGACCTAGAGGCAGCCAGGTGGAGAGCTGCCCCACAAGCTGTCTGTGCTGTAGGAGACTTGTGGGTGTCAGGAGCCCTGTTCCATTTGGTGGTCCTTGTCGCCATGCTCCTGGCAGGGAAGGAAGCCTCACACACACAGGCTGGCTGAATCAGGCTGGGTGCAGGCCCAAGGGCAGATCTCCCTCCCTAGAGGGAAGTTGGAAACACATCTCTAGAAGGTATCTACACGAGGTGGAGGATCCACTGGAAGCATAGAAGAGATCCACTGGGTAAAAGGGAAATTTTCTGTGCCTTCCGGAAAGTAATTCTGCTGGTCAAGGCGAAGCCCAAGTGTAGAAGCCATTTCATTTACCCCAGGAGACACGAGTGTATCTCCAACCTTCTTTCTTTTCAGATGTATGTGATGCTTCCCACTTTGAAGCCTCATTAATAGTTTCCTCTTCTTTAGGACATGGATGTGATTCCTGTGAAGGGAAGGAACACCCTTTTTTTAAGCCACTTGTTTTCTGTGAATTAATGCTTCATATTTCTTTTCGTAGCAGGTTATTGTCCTTGTGACAACAACAGCTGCATACGCAGAGAAAAGATCAGGCTGTAGTGGCTGAGCCATCTTATTCCAAGTTTGCAAAGCAATGATTCGGATGCAACACTTTTGAGTTTTTCCCTTCCCAATTCCCTTCAGTATTTATTATTGGTATATATTAAACTCTGTTAGCATTGTAACAAATGCATATCAGAAAGCTAGCTGTAATGTATTTTACATAGTTACAAGGTAATGTCCTTGAAATTTGAGGGGACAAGTTTCAAGCAAGACAGGACTGCTTCTACTGTCTGACTTAGGAATGCTTCCACTGTAGTCCTCTGAAAATTAGCATGTGGCAATCACTGCACTCATGTACAGGGCATTTTTGCTTGGATTCAGGTTTTTTAATAGGAAACTCTAAAAAAAAGATTCTGAACTGGGGGAGTTTCCCTTATGTTTTTGTTTGAGTGACTCAATTTTATTTGAAGGCTTAAAAACAAAAATACCCCCAATTTTCCAGAGTAACTGATGTTGCTGCTACATTTTTCGTATTTTTTATATAACTTTAACTGGGTTTCTCCACTCCCTTTGCTCCCTTCTTTCTCCTTATTTCTGTTTTCCTCTAAAACTGGGAGTCTTGAGATGAAAGCTTGGCCTTCTGAGATGAATGGGAGTTTTCCCATCCAGACCCCGTGTCTGGAAGAGAGAAAGGAGAACACCACTGGCTCATTACTGTCTTCCTCTGAAAACTTAAAGCAAAGAACATCACATGCTTGAATCTTGGCAGGTTTTAGAAAAATCTTTGCTGCATAAATGCTAATGATACACCCTTTTGCTTACAGTGGCTTTTTAAAGCAAGAGTTTTCAATCTTTTCCAGCATGTTTTATTTGCTTGTTTTATTTCTTTTTGGAGCTTCTGCCTTTTCAGTCAGGAAGTAAATGGATGATTTTAAAGACAATGATGAATCTTAGAGGGGAGGGAGGGTGGCTGTGTTCCCCCTGCTGCACACAGCAAGCACTAGGCAATGTGAAGCATTTGGGGGGTTCTGTTCACCTTTTTTTTTAAAGAGGAGAGTGCCCTGGAGTGAGCATCCTGACAGTACTTTCAAAGAAGGGATATAATCATCTGTAGTTTTCCCATTGTCCCACGAGCTGTCTTCAAGTCACCTCAGAGTATTTGGTTGGCTTAGACTGGTGAGTTCATTCAGTGCTTACACTGGATGTCGTGTGGCTTCCCAGATGCTATGTGAAAACTTAGGCAGGCAGAGAAGGAAATTGGGAGTGCAGTGTTTTCATTCATGGCTGAAGGAGAGCTTGCACTGGGCTATAGGAAAAGTTTTATCATGGTCAGATTTAATCCAAACCATTCTGTGTAGTTGCAATAATAAATTTTCTAGTTTCCAGGTAATATACTTTAACTACAGTGTGATACCAGTGATAGATTTCTTTTTTTATATACTCTAAGGCCCTTTATAGCTTTTCCAGTTCAGGGTAGATTTAAGATGTTGACAAGTGTCTTCAGAGACAATAAGGATTTTCGATTTCATCCCTCAACGCCACTGCTGAATAAGGCAGTGCTACTTCAGTAAGGATTTCAGCAGAAGCATGCAGGGAATTTTGTTTTTCTTACGTTGACTGTTGCAGAACATTTGATTTTTGTTTTGCAGACTAACAAGGGGGATGAGCTCTCGAATCGCATCCAGAATACGCTGGGCAACTATGATGAAATGAAAGACTTGTTAACTGACCGATCAAACCAGAGCCACCTTGTTGGGGTTCCAAAACCTGGGGTTCCTCAGACGTCTCTCCCCAAGCTGGATGAACATCTTATTGCAGACTCGAGACCGCCGCCTCCTCCTCCCATTTCCAGCACTACTTCTTCCACACCAGCAGCCCTATCTGCCCAGCAGAGCAAAAGCACCACGATGGGTTGGCAGAAGGCCGGGCACAATGCTGCTTCGGATGGCCAGCAGAGAGCGAGCAAGCATGGGCACCGGTCGCTGGAGTCACACAAGGGTGACTTCAAACTGACGAACCAAAAATCCAGTCTGGAGAAACTAAAACGCTATGCATCGAGTCCCACCTCCTCCTCCTCCTCCTCCAACACTGCCCAGCAAAGCTCACTGAGGGCCACACTAGGAGACAACGTCAACAGAGTGCAGCAGCCGGCAAAGCTCAACTGTAGCTCGGAAGGAGGAGCTCAAGCGCAAGAGAGGCCAGCAAAGCATGGTGGCGGGCACTGCGTCCAAAACTTTCCGCCCTCTCTTGCTTCGAAGCCCAGTTTGGTTCAGCAGAAACCAACAGCTTATGTAAGGCCGATGGACGGTCAAGACCAGGCTCCTGATGAGTCTCCAAAGCTGAAGTTACCAGCAGAGACGACCAAGTCGTATAGGGGAGTGCCTTCTAACAAGCCTGATTCGGCCAGGACCAAGTCAAAGATAGCCAAGTTCAGCATTCCTAAGCAAGAAGAGGTAAGTGTTGTTATGCTTTTTATGACGTACCCCCTTGGATGGATGGATGATGCCTTAGAACTGCAAATTGCATCTGTCTCTCTACACATTTTTAACATATTAATTTGCATGTTGAATTTTTTTTTTAACATTGGCATAGTATATTGCAAATAGCAGCCTCACAGTAATGTAAAGATATCTCAACAGTGAAATGCTCACTGTCTTCAGGACCATAACACTTCCGACAATGGCACATTTTCAGGTAGTATATATTATTTCACTGCCTTTACTTCCTCGGTGTCCACATATAAAGCCTGGATATTTTTAATTATTTCTTTTTTTTTTTTCTCCTAGGCAGGTGTATTACTTCTAACTGTTCATATTTCATTGACTTCTTTGGCAATGATTAAATGAAATGTTTGTGATCAGAAGTAGTTCTGCCATCCTCAATGATGTCAAAGTAATTTTGCAATCTAAATAAATTACTTAAACAATATGAAATTTGTGGAAATTTCTCTTCTCCCAAGTAACTAGCGATAGGACGAGAGGAAATGGCCTCAAGTTGCGCCAGGGGAGGTTTAGATTGGACGTGAGGAAAAATGTCTTTGCTGAAAGAGTGGTTAAACATTGGAACAGGCTGCCCAGGGAAGTGGTTGAGTCCCCATCCCTGGAGGTATTTAAAAGACGAGTAGATGAGGCAATTAAGGACATGGTTTAGTGGGTGGTGGTGTTGGGTCGACAGTTGGACTCGATGATCTTAGAGGTCTTTTCCAACCTCAATGATTCTATGATTGCATGATTCTATGAATAGAAGAGAATACAGCAGTGAGACTCTCCTTTTAGTTCATAGTATCTGATTCTGTTTCAAACCAATTTCTGAGAAGACTGAGGTTTGCTTCCTGAAGAATCACCATCTGTAGAAACCCAGCCATGCTACAAATATGAGAACATGTCTGAAAAAGCTTCTAGACAACATTTCTGTTATCAGCAGTAGATATGAAAGATTTCTGCTTGGACTTATTTTATGTTCATTTATTTCACATTCTGTTTATGCAAGTAGGACACCTTGCGTTATCACTTACAGAGTCTGTGATTTTCTGTTTGATCTTTTTGGATGGGGAGGAAATAGTTGGTTTTGGCAGAATAAAGGGTGATTTTTTTTTTTTCTGGGGCGTATTCAGAGGCATGTATGCCAATAGAAAGATGGTCACATCATTCTCTTGTGCAAATTAGTAGAGCTCCCATGACTTAAACAATTTATAGTATTTATAGGACTAAACAACTCTATTTGGCTGAATCACCATGACTTTCTCAGAGCAGAGACAATGATTGTTTACTCTTATTTGACAGCTGTGGTGTGTCTTGAGATGTTTTAAGTCTTAACATTTTTGTTTCTGGCATTGTTAAAGGAGAAGAAAAATCTAATTTTTGGTGGAGTTCTCTGGCCTCTTAATGCCTGTTTGTAAGAAATGGAGTTGACTGTTGTATTCCCCCTTTGGTTCGGTTTGGGAGAGAAATCTCTCTGGAAGCAATTACTTCTCTCAGCTCTTTTAGGCATTATACCCATGTGGTTTTTCTCTAAGTTAAAGTTCCATCAGTTCCAAACAACACATAGGTGATATGTTGTTCCTGAAAAGGGGTTGTTTTAGGCTCTTAAGCCAGATTTGATAAGCAAATTTAGCATTCACAAACTGCTGTAATTGTGCAGATAGATCATGTAATGGCAGATACTAATATCCATTTAGCTATTATTACCACTTTCAGACTTGTGCCTCTATCTGCAAGTGGGAAGTATTGTTAGAATTAAAGATGCCTGTGGCAATTGTCTGGATCTTTCAAATTTTCCCCCTTTACATGTATGCAATACTCTAAGGACTAGTTTGGAAAGCAGTTTTGATAGGCAATCATTTGTCTGAAATTCAGGATTTACCATTTGCATTCCAAATTCGCCTACCTCAGGAAAGAAAGCTTTCATTTGTTGTATGTAATCCATGCCGATGCATAAGGGTAAATTTATACTGCAGTTTCTAGACATGTAGAGACATGTAGACACGTATTTGAGATTGCTTTAAACTAACTTGCTTAGCTACTGATGGCAATGTAGGCTATGGTAGGAGAGAGTGGACTGCAAGGTAGCTACTGAAGTGTTCACAGATTTTACGGGATGCAGTATTAATGAAACAGTATTTGATAACATGATATAAACATTTAACTGAAGTTGAAGGAGGTGGGCAAAAAACATTGTCTGGTAGGTTATAAAAGAGGTAAGTGATTACAAAAAATGATGGACAAATGACTCAGAAGAAAAATAGTAAGTACTACAGGTGATGGGGTTTGAAACGGGAGCTAATGAAAGACAATGTTTAGATCTCATGTTGGAGGGCTGAGAGTCCTGGTGATAAAAGTGCCCAGCTTTTTTTCCTTTATCTTGACATTTCCTTTGTTCTAACATTTTCCATCCCAAGTGGCATAAGATGAAATTGGTAACCCACTGGTATTGCTACAGGGAGAAATATTGACCAAGACTGAAAGTTTTTTCAGTCAGTCTTGCCTGATCCACCCTCCCTTTAATTTTCAATCATACTTCTTTTTATTTCAAAATGTTTTTCCATTCTTGTTATTTGTATCATACATCTCCTAGTACAGTTTTGTAAGAATTTCCATGCGTTTTTTAAATTTCTGCTTTCAAACTCATAAAACTTCTCCTTTGCATCAAATGTTCACTGTCCCCTATTAGGGATAGAAGTTTTAAGCAGCTTTCAGCACAAAAGCTATCATGGTCCTGTGAACATTTGCAGGCAAAACTTGTTCAGGGTGGGGCTAAAGGTGATGGCCAGGAAGGACTTTGTATCCCTAGTGGCCATGGGAAGAGCAGAGATGCCATATAGGATGATAGTGAGGGAAAGCAGGCTGACAAGTAGGATACAACAGTGTCTGGGAAGCTATATGGAAACAGAAATGAGAGTGGCAGAAAACTGCCTAAGAGCAGCCAGGAGAATACGGGAAGCAGGAGAGGGGCAGAAAGCTTGGGGATAGGGTATCTGGAGCGCAGGTGGTGGACTGAAGCTTTATGTCTGCTAAAATAAAAGGTGTGTGGCTGAGATGGACTAGGTAGGGCAGTTAGTGTGCTCTGGGGGTTAGTGTAGGCAGCACCATGAGGTGTTGCTGGCTCGTGGTCAGCTTGTGGTCCACCAGGACCCCCAGGTCCTTCCCTGAAGAGCTCATGTCCAGCCAGTCAGCCCCCAGCCTGTACTGGTGCTGGGGTTATTCCTCCCCCGTTCAGGAGTTTACATTTTCCCTTGTTGAACTTCTTGAGGTCCCTGTCGGCCCATTTCTCCAGCCTGTTGAGGTCCCTCTGGATGGCAGCACGACCCTCTGGTGTATCAGCCACTCCTCCCAGTTTTGCATCATCTCCAAACTTGCTGAGGGTGCACTCTGCCCCATCGTCCAGGTCATTAATGAAGATGTTAAACAGTATTGGCTGTGGGGTACACCACCAGTGGCTTTGTGCCACTGATCACCACCTTCGGGACCACTTTTATAGCCTTCACTTTCTGTCTGCAGGCCTAATTTCGTCATTACACACTTTTTTTCTACTTTCAGCTCTTAAAATGTGTTCATAGTGATACCATGGTCCAAAGCCTATACTTTTCAACTTGGCCTTGACAAGTTCTACAGCTGCTTAATTGAACTGAAAATGGAACTGCAGGAGGCTGTAAGGGAAAAAGATGCAAATACGGGAAGCAAGATGTGAGTGCAGGGTGTAGGTGTAAGATAAAACATGAGACTCAAAGGAGGAAAAACTGAGGGGCAGGGGGCAGGGGAGAAGCTGCCAAGCCTGACCAAGTAGAGAAGTGAATGGTGAGAAATGACCATTTCCCCAGTTCCTGCAGCGTTGGGGCTGTTGAGGTCCTCTGGATGGCAGCACGACCCTCTGGTGTATCAGCCACTCCTCCCAGTTTTGCATCATCTCCAAACTTGCTGAGGGTGCACTCTGCCCCATCGTCCAGGTCATTAATGAAGATGTTAAACAGTATTGGCTGTGGGGTACACCACCAGTGGCTTTGTGCCACTGATCACCACCTTCTGGACCACTTTTATAGCCTTCACTTTCTGTCTGCAGGCCTAATTTCGTCATTACACACTTTTTTTCTACTTTCAGCTCTTAAAATGTGTTCATAGTGATACCATGGTCCAAAGCCTATACTTTTCAACTTGGCCTTGACAAGTTCTACAGCTGCTTAATTGAACTGAAAATGGAACTGCAGGAGGCTGTAAGGGAAAAAGATGCAAATACGGGAAGCAAGATGTGAGTGCAGGGTGTAGGTGTAAGATAAAACATGAGACTCAAAGGAGGAAAAACTGAGGGGCAGGGGGCAGGGGAGAAGCTGCCAAGCCTGACCAAGTAGAGAAGTGAATGGTGAGAAATGACCATTTCCCCAGTTCCTGCAGCGTTGGGGCACATGAAGTGATGAGCACTTCTGTGTGACGTTTTAGTTTTATTTTGAACATCACGTGACTATAGGCAACTTCAAGTTCCACAGAGAAAACCAGGAAACAAGAATATATTGTTATAAATCTCCTGATTTGCAAGTCCACTTACTAATGCATTCAGGTTGAGTCCTCTGTTTCCATGCACTTGCATTTAGCTTATAGTACTTTCCAGAGTCTATCAGTATAGCTAATACCTATGCACTTTCATTTGTGTTTACCAGTTTGAAGGAACCATCAGTGGAAAAATAAACACATAATGAAACAAAGTTAAGTCTCCCTGTAAGAACTGAAGAATAAGAAGCAATGTCACGCAAAGTGTGTGTGTCTTCAGCAGGGTACAAAATCCTCTTCTGTACATCCCTTGAGGTTTTCAGAGAAACAGGGCACAAAGTTGGCTGCAGTACAATTATTATTCACTGGAAACAAAATCACTTGAATACAAATTATAGACCATTACTTTTCAATACATGAAAAAGGTTGATTTTTAATGTAGTTCAATACCTCATTTAATATTTTTAATCAATTTT